TAGCGCCCGGAGTAGTGTGGCCCCTGCGCTTGAAGTAGACTGCCGACGACTTCCGAGGTAGATGGAGGCTTGTAGGATTCCGGAGTGGTGCGGCTCCGCGCTTGAAGAAGGCTTCGCCGAAGACTTCACGTGTAGGTGGAGGCTTGCAGGATCCCGGGGCAGTGCGGCCCCGGGATAAGGCCTTTAGGAGATGCTTCCAATTCGAGAACTGAAGCGAGACTGCCTTTCTTCACCGATTGTTCGGCTTTTATACCTTTCTAGAGAGAACGGAAAAATTATTTAAATTAAACGCAAATTTTTTGTAAATGGTCAAGAGAAAAGAGTATTTATGTGGAATTATCGAAATAGGAACAACAGATCGGTAGCAAATTTGAATATAGTTACTATGGAGACCAAATAAACAAAAATGTCAAAACATGTCAAATTTTAGTTTTAGGCTTGTAATAAGAAAACGGCAAGATTTAAGTGGAAAATGAGATATTATTGATATAGCATAACACTACAATTACGAATCGTCTCGCGCGCAGACTTGACGACTTCCAGCCTCCCGAACAAGCCGGTTTCCGAAAAGGCTTTAGCACCATAGACCACATACATACCCTACGGCAAATTGTACAGAAGTCCGATGAGTACAATTTGCCACTATGTCTGTCGTATGTGGACTATGAGAAAGCCTTTGATTCCGTCGAAATTTGGGCGGTGCTGCAGTCCCTTCAGCGGTGCCAAGTTGACTTTCGGTATATCGAATTGTTGAAATGCTTGTACAGTAGGGCTACAATGGCTATCCGAGTACAGAACCAGAGCACGAAACCTATCCAATTGCAGAGAGGTGTAAGACAGGGTGACGTCATATCCCCGAAACTCTTCACCGCTGCATTGGAAGACGTTTTCAAGTTTCTGGACTGGAAAGGATACGGTATAAACATCAATGGCAAGTACATCACTCAGCTTCGATTTGCCGACGATATAGTCCTTATGGCAGAATCGCTGGAGGACCTAAGCACTATGCTCAATGACCTCAATTGTGTCTCCCAACGAATAAGTCTTAGGATGAACATGGACAAAACAAAGATCATGTTTAATGTCCATGTCACACCTATGCCGATAGTTGTTGGGAGCACTAAGCTCGAAGTTGTTGATGAGTATGTTTACCTGGGACAAAGAGTCCGACTAGGTAAGTCCAACTTCGACCGAGAGGTCAATCGACGGATTCAACTCGGTTGGGCAGCGGTCGGGAAATTACGGCACATCTTCTCGTCAGGTATACCTCAAAACTTGAAAACGAGACTGTACAACCAGTGCGTGTTGCCAACTGAACTCAGACGTGGTCCTTCACTGCTGGCCGGATGAGGAAGCTCAAGGTCGCTCAGCGAGCTATGGAGAGGGCTACGCTCGGAGTTCCTCTGCGTGATAACCTTAGAAATGAGGATATCCGCAGTAGAACCAGAGTGACCGACATAGCTCAACGGATTAGTAAGCTGAAGTGGCAATGGGCCGGCCATATAGCTCGAAGAACCGACAACCGATGGGGTTGGAAAAAGGTTCTCGAGTGGCAGCCTCGTACCTGCAGGCGAAGTGTAGGGCGTCCGCCCACTAGATGGAGTGACGACCCGGTAAGATATGCAAGAAGTCGATGGATGCAGGTGGCTCAGGGCCGTGCTTTGTGGCATTCCTTGGGGAAGGCCTATGTTCAGTAGTGGACTTGTGAAGGGCTGTAATGATGATGATGATGAAACACACACGCGATGAAAATATCTTATGCGTTGCAAAGAAAATGGAAGGTTTGCTGAATTAAGCATGTACCCATGTCACAAAGGACAATTGGGAGAAATCAAAGAAAATTATTATGGATGACTTTGAAAGAACATTCATTTTGATACATCATTGAAAATCCAATAATAATCAATCTAAATAACGACAGCTCAACTAGTTGTAGTGAAAGTGACTGAATATATTTATTTTAATCTAATTTCAAATTTTTACAATTTTGCCTCTAGAAATAAGCAGTAATAAATACGAAGAAACTGATAAATCTTGGGTTTTAAATTATCCGTTTCTAATTTATTCTGATATTAATCGAAACAATACCCTAAAGAAACGATATCGGTTTTTCTAAAGAATAGAATAGTTCGTACCGATTTTTTGGTTGGCATTCCGTTCTATACGAAGTATATTATAATATCTTTGCATGGAATATAGAGTAGGAGAACCATCTCTGTATATGAATGTGTCCGTAAAAACGCGTCCAATAAGAATGCCGCTGCGGTAGCATAGGACAAATTAAAAAAAAAACGCCAAAAGTAATTAGAATAAGATGGACAAACAATCCGCATGGTTTTGTACTACGTACATAAATAGTTGAGGTTTCGTATACTGGCATTTTACTAACTACTCTAGTCATGCTATTTTTTAAATATTTGAATTCAGCTGACTTCACACCGTCTACAACAGCTATACTCATATCGTAGTTTTTCAGACGCCAGCGCTATTGCGGTAGATTTTGGAACCTCTATTTTCAGTATACAGTTTGACACTTTTTCAACTTACCCCCATATGAGATGGTTCTCCATCTACTCTATACCTACTCCATTTATCTTTGGGCATTCCTAGTCCAACAAGTCTGACAGCTGTCAAAGGTATTTCTTACATTAGGTTGAGTATAGTACATACGTATAGAAATTAGAAACGTGTGATGCATAGATTACTGTATATATACTAGAGATAGATGCGCGACTCAAATTTTATTTTCTTTAGTGTCGTGCTTTGCATAACAGACTGCGCTTACTAAAGAAGGAACTTGAAAAAAAGGGAAAAAATAAACACATCTGCTGGACGCGATCCGGGGTCTTTAGATTTCGGGACTGAGCTATTATAATAACCTTGTGCGTTGTGGCGAAATTTACGTATGCAAATTTACGTGTGGATTATTGCGTATGCATAAACTTAATATATATAAGTGCCCTCTAGTGAGATTAAAATAGGTCTAGCCTAGCGCTTCGGAACGTAGATGGAATCACATAAAACGTATGATTTTGTTCATAAAATAATGTTCTAAGTTGCACCCCCATGGTGTGATGGTACGGAACCCTTCATGCGGATCACCTTTTCGACCGCCGCCTATGAACAACTGCAATACTAGGGGAGTCGTACTTTATACTGCTCAAACGAGTGTGGGTTTCGAGTTCTTCTCTTAGTTTTAGTTCTCTTAGTTTTTTAAATCTATTTTTATTTTATACCCTCATCTCCGACCGGGCGTTCTTACAATCGTAGAAAAAAAGTTTTTAGGGGGCCCCGTTACAGCCTGATTCAAGAGATAACTACGAGTTGTGTCTCGCCAACAACGCAAAGTCGGGAATTTGCATTTGGAAAAATCCCTAAAATTAGGAACTTTTTAGGTGCTAATTAGGTGCCAAGTTTAAAAATTGGGTGCTCTAAAATTTTCACCGTAACGAACGATTGAAATTTGCGTTGCTGGCAAAACGTATCGCAAGCAACGCAATGAACTATTGCACCTTTTTCTGAAAGCAATTTTGATTCTATTTTGATTTTCAGAAAACCTGAATTTTTCGTCTGCTTTGTTCTGAATAACGACTTTATTTTTATTAGGGGCGCCTTGTTACTTGCAGCACGTAATTAGCAATTAATTCCTTGATATGAATATTTATCGTATATAATGATTTCTTATATTTACGCGAACACTACACATTTTTAAATAAAACTAATTTTACGGAATTTATCGCGTATATTAACTTATTATTTCTTTTTTATATTCCCGACGTTTCGGGTGCTTTCCAGCACCCGTGGTCACGGGGAACTGAGGTGTTTGACGTCCTGCTGTATCTCCCGTAGTCGCCGACATATTCATGGAGGACTTTGAGGAGAAAGCCCTTCTTACTGCTCCTGTAAATCCAAGATTCTACAAGCGGTACGTAGACGATACTTTCACAATTTTACCATCTGACAAAGTAACTGCATTTTTAAACCACCTTAATTCCATAAACCCGAAAATACAATTCACAATGGAGTTAGAGGCAAACAATACTTCAGCTTTCCTAGATGTTTTAGTCATCCGAAATCCTGATAACACTATTGGTCATACTGTGTACAGAAAAAACACCCATACCAACCGATATTTAAATGGTGAATCTCACCATCATCCTTCACAGTTAGCTACCGTGGGAAAATCTTTGTTTCAGAGAGCACGAGGGATCTGTGACAGAAAACATCTGGCCGCCGAGCTTCAGCACGTCAAGCAAGTACTGCAAGACAACAAGCTTCGGGTCCCGCGCCTACGTCACAGTGACCGAGTGAAGCCAGCCACAGTCGAGCGTGTGCCTGCTGTACTAACCTATGTCAGAGGAGTCACAGACAAGGTTGGCTACATCTTGAAGCGAGCTTCCATTAAAACATACTTCAAGCCGCTGAAGAAGATTGGTCAATTTTTACCATCCGTCAAGTGTCATATCCCTCTACAAGATGCAGGAGTGTACAAGCTGGATTGTGAATGTGGTCTCTCGTACATAGGACAAACGAAAAGATCTATTAAAACCCTCGTTAAAGAACATATAGCTGACGTGAAGCACCGACGTATCGGGAAGTCTGCAGTTTGTGAACATGTTCAAGATCGTCCCCGCCATTACATTAGATTTGATAGACCACAAATCCTCGCAAAAGAACACCGATTCCTCCCAAGGATGATTCGCGAGGCTATTGAAATTAAAAAACATCCTAATTTCAATAGAGAAGATGGATGGGTGCTGCCATCTGCTTGGGATCCCATAATTAATAAAATCAAATCCAAACCCAAGTATACCACTGCTAGACTTCAAGATACTGTAAGCTCATTCTGCGTAAATCGAACCAAAAATTAATATTAACCCATATTATATGCCCAGAACAATGACAATATAACCACTTGACTGCGCATACAGTGCTCCGACGCTCGAAAACTATTAGTATTTTGTCGCCTATGTATAGGCTACGGTACGAGTAACCATTTTAGAAGTGTCCAAGTGTTAGACCTGTGTGCACGCTAAATTAATATAAATTTTTATAACTTTTTATGCAATTATAACGCATCAAAATGCCTTCATGCGCGGTGAAGTGGTGTGGGAAACATTCCAAGACATCTAGTTACAAAAAAGATGGCATAACTTTTCATCGGTAAGTAAACAGTATGAAAATTATATTTGATTTAATCAGATTATGAGCGACTGCAGGGGTCTATTTAAAATGGTGGTTATTTAAACGAGCACATAGTTGAGACGCGCGTTGATGTCTTTTGGAAAAGTCTCGTTCTTTCATTAGACAATTCTAATGCTTCTATCCCTTTCTTTCCCTTTGTATGTTTATTGTAAAAATTAGTGCTGTTACCTTTAATAGCTAAAAGTCGATATCGAAAATATGAAAATTAAAATTAATAAAATTTTTATTCAATTAACGTGTAATAAAATACCTATTTACTTTTAACCGACTTCAAAAAAGGAGGAGTTTCTCAGTTTGTCAGTATTTTTTTATGTATGTTCCGAGATTTTTTTGTATTTCTTTGTCCCTGACCGGGACCGATCGGTCCAAGATAATTATGGCTTCATACACCCGCTGGGTCCGATAGGTCCCAGTGCGGTCGGGTGATTTCACACCCAATTATTACGAATCCACAGATAACAATAAATTAATACAAATTTCACTTGTATTCGCTACAATTTCGGGGAAGACTGTCATAAAATGATAGTGAATTTGATAACGCACTATGAATTTGATAATGTTCTATTTGTTGTTTTGCACAATAATTATTTTTTATGTAATTTTTGAGGACGGTGATGTAAACAGGTTTTTTTCGTCTGTGTGTTTGACATACATGTTTTTATTTTAGATTTCCGAAGATTCCAGAACTAAAAGAAAAGTGGATAGATAAGGTTAATAGGGAAAATTGGTTTCCAACAAAATACAGCGCTGTTTGTTCAAGGCACTTCACCCCCGATTGATTTGAATATTTAAAAGAACGCCGCCGTCTATTTAGTTCAGCGATACCAACTTTGTTTTTGCCTATTTTGGTAAGTTTTGTTTTTATTGATATAATGTTAGGAAAAGTGAAATTGTAAATATAAGAAATATTCATTCTTTACAGGATTCACCAAATAGTATGATTGACTCTTATACTAATGTACCTGGGCCTTCGCGTCACAATATCGCCCTCGTAAGTTAATTAGTTTCGATGATAAGTCCATGAGATAAATTTTATGTGACTGCGTTTATTGATATCCGACATGTTTAATTACAGAGTTCATTATCAAATAAACAAGTGCATTCTGAAGCTCATACATCAACTGAAGCCCAGACTCCTTTGCATTGTTTTCCATTTGATGATAGTAACATTTTCAGGCCTTCCCATGATTATGAAATTCCCGTAAGCTTCATTTTTATATTCTTCTCAAATAATATTTCTACAAAATTCAATATTAATATTTCTTATTACCTCTTCTTTTCTTATTTATTATATTTATATATTATTATTTTTCAGAGTTCAACAATAAGTAACAAAGAAATAGTACACCCAGTAATTGAAGACCTGACTCCACGTAAACGCAAAATGAAACGACACATAGACCATCTTATATATTCCCTTAGTAAAAAAAAGAAAGAGGTTAAGAGGCTTCAAGATAAAAATAGATTATTGGTTAAAAAAAAATGCAAATCTAAAAGAAATTTTGAATACTTTGACAAAAAAATCTTATATCACTCAAGAAAATCAAGACATTTTAAGTCGCATAGGTGTACAAAACCAAGAAATTGTTAAACGCCAAATATTGAAATCAAAAAAAGGACATATACCCAAAATCAAATACTCACCGGAGTTACGAGCATTCTCTTTAATATTGCATTTTTATTCCCCAAAAGCGTATAATTTCGTTAGACAAACTTTCAGCACATGTTTACCTGCTACAAGTACTCTGAGAAGTTGGTATCAATCCATTGATGGTAAACCAGGATTTACAAAGGAGGCAATAGATACTATCAAAATGAAAGCCAGAGAATCTAAGAACAAAATTTACGCCACTATCATATTCGACGAAATGGCGATCAAAAGCGGTGTCGAATATCATCCCCAAGCCAGAAGGTACTATGGCCACGTGAGTTTTGGCGCCAGTTTACAAACGGACTGTCAAGATGAAGCTAAAGAAGCCCTTGTTTTCTTGCTAGTGCCAATAAATGCATCCTGGAAAATTACAATAGGATATTTTTTAATAAATGGCATTAATGCAGAACAAAAAGCCGCTCTTCTAACAGAGGCGATCCATTTGGTAGAAGAGGCTGGTGTAAATGTCAAAGCCATTACGTTTGACGGCTGCCCTGCTAATATTACTATGGCTAAAAAGTTAGGCTGTTCGTTTGAAGTTGATCAAATAAACACCACCTTTAAAAACCCCTGCAATACTTCAAAAATAGCGGTCTTTTTAGATCCGGCACACATGATCAAGTAAGTGCGAAATGCATTTGAGTTTTATAGGAATTTGAAGGACGAACGGGGCAGTATTATATCGTGGGAATATCTCGTTAACTTACATAATCTACAAACAGCGGAAAATTTTCATCTAGGTAATCGACTAAGGGCTGCTCATATATTTTTTAAAACGAAAATTATGAAAGTAAGCTTAGCAACCCAAATTTTTAGTAAGAGTATATCAGATGCACTCACATTTTGCAAAGAAAAGCTTAATTTACGTGAGTTTCAAGAAGTTACACCCACAACACAGTTTCTGGATATGATGAATGACCTTTTTGATATTCTGGACTCGCACATCCATGGATATGATTTAAAACGAGCAGTCAATGCAGAAAATGCTGCGAATGTTATACTTAAATTAAAGACAGCTAGAGATGCTATACTAAATATGTCCGCAGACATAATTGTAAGAACTGTAAAACAAGAAGTTCGACTCGTTAAGTCACCTCGATATACCGGATTCATAGGGTTTTGTGTGTGTATAGAAAGTACCATTGCTCTCATTCAAGACTTGGTCCTGAACTCAGAGTGCGCCTTAAAATATCTTCCTCTACATAAAATAAGCCAGGACCATTTGGAACACCTGTTTGGAAGTATAAGATGCCACGGTGGATCAAACAACAATCCTAGTGCTAGGGTATTTGAAAGCATATACAAGAAGCTCCTGACCTATGCGCAAATAAAAAATAGTGGTAGTGGCAATTGCAGCGCTCTTGGTCAAATTTCAATTTTGCAATGCACTTCTGCAATTAACCGCATCAATATTACAACAAGATACAAAGACCAAAACATAGATCTTGAGACTGAGAGCTTGGATTTTTCAGGCCTTGAAAGCCTGTTACCTAATTCTGAATTCGGTGAAAAAGTAGTAGAATATATGGCCGGCTACATTGTACATGCTTTGATAAAGCAAATAAAATGCCAAACTTGCATTGGGGCGCTGATTGGTGTACCAAATCAAAACGCCTTACAATTTCAAAAGGACACTAAAGACAAGTTATTGTACGGATCCACCACAGTAATAGAAATTTGTCGTCGTTGTGAAATTTATATTAAGAGGGCGATCAACGAGAGTGGTTAGAAAGTGCTGTCTTCGAAATATAATACCGATTATTTTATAAGATCGGTTTTAAAATCTCTGATTGGGTATAATTTATTCCCGGATATTAATTTTCATCAATTTGAAATTGAATCCACAAATCATTTAATTGAATTAGCAAGATGCATAATTCAGAAATATGTAGACGCGCGCTTATCATTTTTTACGAAGAACAATCAGGACCCTAAAACTTTAATTCGAAAAACATATTCCAAATTAATACATTTTAAAAATCAATAATAACGTGATACATGTTTTTCTTGTAATTGATTGATTTTGATTAAATATTATTTCTATGATTTTAATTAACAAATACATTACATTTACACCATTACAATTACATTTAGTATTTTTCATAATGTTAAAATCCATTTTATCGATATCCACTATTTTCCCTTAATGAAGTAGAGCAACCCTAACGATAGCCATACCTTGAATTGACCAATTGCGGCCGCACATTCTTCATCGTCCCCCGGCCCGCAGTAGTGAGTCTTGTGCTTAGAAGAAATCGGCCTATACGCTCTCTAGTGGTTATATTCCTCTATGGCCCAGAACTATGTCTTTATTTGGTTCCTTATTTGCCTCGTGATTCGAAAACGAATCAAAAATTAAGTTTTAATAATAGTTCATTATCTTCCGCGTTTTGTTCGGAAAGTGAATTCTACCGCCATCTATGTCAAGGCTAAGGTTTTATCTTCTAATGGTAATTGAATGTGTCAACTAAACAAACGTTATTTTCACGTAATGAATCAGTGCAAGTTGTGACCAGTTTACGACAAGCAGAAATCATGGCAACTTTCACAAAAAAGTAAGTAATTATACCAATTATCTCCAGTTTAGAGATCTTGTGTAATTTGTGATAAAATTACATAGTTTGAAAATATTTTTATGTAATTATATAAACTAAATGGTTGTATTCAAATACCTAAAAGTTGTTTTTAAAATTAGTGTTTCGAAAACGATACACTGGGAAAATATACGTTTGTAATATACTAAATATTTTTTTTTTATTTCAGATGGAGCAGGCCGTTATCGACCAATGAAGTTGATATTGTTCATAATTTGGATTCGGACGATGAAGCGACAGGTATAGACATTTATATTGATCCCCCCGGAGATGGATTAGTTTCGGACTCCGATTCGGGCGATAAAACAAATGTAAGTTTCGATAATTTATCACGTAGACAACTTTTGGCTCCTGCTGAGCTGGTACTTCATGGAAATAAAGACAATGATAACAGCGAGTCCGAAGATGATCTTCCGCTTTCAGCCTTAGCTACTCAAAACACAACATTGAACGTGCCTTTATCGAGTCAACCAGGACAGCCACAAGCCCGTAAGTGGGTAAAACGAGACTTATGTAGGATGGATAACGAGTGGATTGCACCGCTTCCAAGATCAGTGGTGACCGTATCAGATGCGTCGGACCCAGTTCATATTTTTGAATGATTTTTTAGTCACGAAGTAATCATTCATATTGTTCGTCATACCGTTATGAATGCTATAGAAAAAGGAAATATGGCGTTTACCTTGTCAGATAATGATATATATTGCTTTGTCGGCATTCTTATATTAACAGGTTACTGTCCATTGCCGCGACGACGTATGTATTGGGAGAGTAATGAGGATACCCACAATTTGTTAGTAGCTAAATCTATGCGACGGAACCGGTTTGAAGAAATTTTACGATACTTTCATGTGGCCGATAACTCAAATTTAGCGCCAGGTGACAAAATGGCCAAAGTGCGCCCCTTGTTTGATATGCTCAATAAAAAATTTTTACAATATGCTGTGATTGAAAAAGATATTAGCATAGATGAATCTATGATTCCTTATTACGGCAGGCATAGGTGTAAACAGCACATAAAAGGAAAACCTATCAGGTTCGGTTTTAAAACTTGGGTAGCAGCTTTGCAACTGGGATATTGCTTGCATGCTGATCTTTACCAGGGTAAATCTGAAGGAGTCAGGACCGGTTTAGGCCAACATGTCGTAAGTAAACTTATGACGGAGATCAAAGCTGCCTAAGAAAATACAAATTTCTCTGTTTATGTCGATAATTTTTTTACAGGGATACCCCTAATTACTCAAATGAAAGAACAAAATGTTCTAGTAACGGGTACTGTAAGAAATAACAGAATAGAGAAGTGTCCTTTGAAAGATGTCAAGTTATGCAAGAAAGAACCGAGAGGTTATCACGATAGTCGGCTGGATCAAAAAAGTAGTATTTGTGCTATTCGCTGGAATGATAATAATGTCGTGACATTTTTATCGAGTGAGTACGGCGTAGAACCTCTGAGAACAGCAAGTAGGTATTTAGTTGCGCAAATGGCAAGAGTGGATGTGCCACAACCTGATCTTGTATATCAATACAATTGCTACATGGGTGGCGTGGATCGTTTAGATAATAATAAAGGCACTTACAGGATTTCAATTAGAGGCAAAAAGTGGTATATCCCCATAATTTTCTGGCTTATTGATGTGGCTCTAAACAAAACAACACTTATCGCACGACAAATGCGCAATGATGTAGACACTTTAGAATTTCGGTGTAGTATTGCTCGAACTTTGTTCCAAAAGTATTGATAAACGGCGGCCGGGTCCTTCTAGAAAGATTTCTACGACTGTACCTCCCTCAGTGCGAAAATTTAATGCTGAGCACATGATCGGCAGAGCACCAAGTCACCTGCGTTGTGCTTATTGCAAAAGCTTGACGGTTACTTCCTGCAAAAAGTGTCAGGTTAACTTTCATGCCAAATGTTTTATAGCGTTTCATTCCTAAATTGAGTTCTTATGTTCCCCCTAAATTTTGCTTAAATCTTTTATTTGTTGGTATTTTAGATTTATATGAATATGTCATTTGAAAATAAATAAACATAGAAAAATGTTGTTGTTTTTTTACTCATAGTAAATGTATGGAAAGTGACCAATGTTTCGTTTTCGAACAATTTAAAAAAAGGTACATAACGAATTCCAACCTTAATGAAACCAATTATAACGTTATTAGAAACTTATTACCACTAACATATCCAAAATTTAGTAAAATCGGAAGTCCAAAATAGTTCTGGGCATATAGAGGGTATTGATCGTTTTCGAATCAGGGGGCAAATATGGGTTAAAAAACTGAAGGTAGCCGGGCTAACATATGACAGCAGGACGTCAAACACCTCAGTCCCCCGTGACCACGGGTGCTGGAAAGCACCCGAAACGTCGGGAATATAAAAAAAAATAAAAAATAAGTTAATATACGCGATAAAATCCGTAAAAATAGTTTTATTTAAAAATTTATCGTATATCTAATAAGTTCATTGCGTTGCTAGCGAGACGTTTTGCTAGCAACGCAAATTTCAACAGTTCGTTGCGGTGAAAATTTTAGAGCACTTAAAAAGCCCCTAATTTTGGGTTTTTCTAAATGCATATTCCTGATTTTGCGTTGCTAGCGATACACAACTGTAACTACGTCGGACTTTATGTACCATTTACATTGTGAAAGTGTATTGTATAAAAATATCAATAACTGGAAACATTTAACCGCGTTCGCACGAATTATTTAAGAATCAGAAGTTGATGTACATTTTTTTTAAAAACGTTACCTCCAATCTATGATTTTTCTCCTGTATCGCGGGGGCAGTTTATATACATAGATTTCACAAGGACAAATATCGAGACCAAGAACAATTATTTGTAGGCCATACAAATACTTGTTCCGTGCGGGATTCGAACCCACGGCCCTTAGCGCTGCAACGCATTGCTAAGCCACTGCGCCACGGAGCTGTCAAACATTGAAGGCGAGTACTGTACAAAAGTTTTGGCAAGGAAGAATTGTAACATCAGTTTATTTAAACCACGAACCTTTTTACCCGAGAGAATTGTTTTCAAGGTTTTACACAAATACAGTAAAACTTGGTTAAGTGGGACCTGGATAAGTGAGAAACCTCCACAGCTGGAACTCATACTTAGGACCCGACACTAGCACTACATTACCTCTGTTAGTGGGACAAAACAAACCTCTATATCTGGGATTAGTTCTTGTGATTTTATTGTCATAATTACCTCTGTAATTGAGACAGTGAGTATATTTTAGCTCTTTACTGAGACTATATTTTGTAAACCGTTTTGTGTACTAATTCTTATTCTACCCGCAAATTCCGCACTTTGCTAATTGTGTAAAAGTGACTTCCAGTTTTAGTTTTGTTGCTATAGTCCGGATGTTTTTTTATATGAAATATTTTTGTTTAATAGCTTTTTTGATTGTTAATAAAGATTACAACTCATGTATAATATTTACACAATACATTATTTTATTTAATAATTACACCTCTATAACTGAAATAACCTCTATTCTCACCTCAATTAATGGAACCCGCTATAAATGATACAGATATTTATTTATACCTGGATATCTGAGATACTGGGTAAGTGGAATACCTCTTTAAGTGAGACACTTTTTAAGAGTTTCACTGTACTTGCGTCAAACACACACACACACATGAAGGCAGGGAAATTGTAACATTGCCATGTAATTAAAAATATTTTTTATGTATGAAACAGTGGTATCTTTGGTTCTGCGAATTATAATTTCTGTCTTATACTTATAAGATTTGCCCATACCATTCAGAGTGATAGTCCCACTGGCGATGCTACCACAGACTGAAACTCGGGTTTACGTTTATGAATGAATTAGGTATATTACTCATAAATTAGCAAGTGCATCACATTCAGATGACGTTGTAATTTTAAAAAAATGACATTTCCCCTCAGATATCTATATACTTACCTATCATACCCATTCGACCATTATTTTTGCCAGTCTTTCACCAACAGTAATAAACTGAATTAAGATATCCAGAAGAAATCAAAATATTATCACATACATTTATTTCAATTAGTGTTGCATTTAATTACATGTGCCTTTTCTTTAAATTGCTGAATGCAGTCTTCTGGGTACAAACTGACACTTCCGCCTGGTGTAAAGTAAGGTTGGCAAAACTGTCTTCAGATTTTGGTTCTTTTATTTTCTTGGATACATTATTCTCTCTATGATCATGTTTTATTACAATTGGCTTAGATAAAGATGATGAAAGTTTCTTGGCCCATTGACTTTCCGGTAACTTCTCCTCATCAGGTACTTTTATCTGCAATACATTATACATTTAAAAGCTACTTTGCCTAGTTTAATAATTAAAAAAATATAATAGTATTATATTTCAGTTATAAAATAAATGTGCGTGATTTCTTGTTTAAGATTATTAGTAACAGTTAGTTTGGTATTGAAAAAAATTTGACAAAACATCATTTACTGAACATGGATTAGTAGGGTGACACTAAAAGTTTTTAAAAGTGGCCAAAGTTACATAGCCAATAAAAATATTTTAATTTGGAAGAAAAACTACTTGTTAACTTTAGGAAATATTAGTAGGTGTGATAGAATAGGCAAGTTTCTAGTGTGAAAAAAGGCAATAATTAAATGCGATTGATCACGCGCAATAATACAATTAATAAATGGGAAATAACTAGGAAGTTGATATTTATTATTTTATAGTACACAAGTTTTGACATGCCGTGTAGTGGCGGTCAAGAATATCCACTACCCCATATCCTCCCGTGGGTGTCGTAAAAGGCGACAAAGGGAAACAGGCAGGAGATGGGCAGCAGCATCTTCCTGATAATAGATAAATTACAATAAAAAAACTGCGGTTGCCAACCCGCTCGCCAAGCGTGGCAACTATGGCAAATACCCCCCTATGAATGACAGTAACAAAGAAACGGCCCCCAGTTCCCGGCGGCCCCGCTATTCCTGGCTACGGTGGCGACCATGGTAACGGCGGGGCAGGGGGTGCTAAGAATCTCCGGTGGAGGTTCGGTTGCCACCTTAGACGACTCGACCTGGCAACGTACAACGTACGCACCCTGAGGACTGACGAGAAGATCGTGGAGCTGGAAGAAGAGATAGACAAGTTGCGCTGGCATATTATAGGATTATCCGAAGTCCGAAGAGAGGGGGAGGACACGGTAATCCTCGAATCCGGCAACTTGCTCTATCACCGGGAGGGCGACCATCTGTCCCAAGGAGGTGTCGGATTTATCGTCCACAAGTCTCTCGTTAACAACGTTGTAAAGATCGGGAGTGTGTCGACGAGGGTTGCGTACCTTATACTCAGAATCACCAAACGGTATTCGCTGAAGGTCATACAGGTTTACGCACCAACCTCGGCACACCCCGATGAGGAGGTGGAGGAAATGTATGAGGATATCTCTAGAGCCATGCATTCCTCCAAAACCCAATATACGGTGTTAATGGGAGACTTTAATGCAAAACTAGGCACAAGAGAGAACGGTGAGCTGAAAGTAGGGAAATTTGGAATAGGGCAACGGAACCCAAGGGGCCAGCAGCTGGCCGACTTCATGGAGAAAGAGGGACTCTTTATGATGAACTCTTTCTTCCAGAAGCGGCCCCACAGGAAGTGGACCTGGTCGAGCCCCGACGTTTCGACAAAAAATGAGATTGACTTCATTATGACGACCAGACGACAACTGTTCAGTGATGTCTCCGTGATCGCGAGGGTGAAAACTGGTAGCGATCACCGAATGGTTAGAGGCACACTGAACCTAAACGTTAAGTTGGAGAGGTCTAGTCTAATGAAGTCAACGCTCCGTCCCCCTCGTGCTCTGTTCCATAGTCCCGAAACCTTTCAGCTCGAGTTACAAAACCGTTTTCAGTGCCTGGAAGACTGCAATGAAGTGGACGATATGAATGACAAGCTCGTGGAAACTGTCCATGCGGTCGGAGCTAAGTTCTGCAAGACCCGCCGCAGAAGAACACAAAAACTCTCCGATCACACTCTTAATCTCATGGCTGTTAGACGGGAGATGAAGCTACATTCTTCAACAGACTTGACAGCATACAGGCATCTGAACAGACAGATCTCCAAATGAATGCGGCGGGACTTACGCAACTTCAATACAGCTCGTATTGAAGAAGCGATCGAGCGGAACCAAGGCTCCAAAGTCTTTGCCAGAGATCTGTCTGCCAGAAAGAGCCAACTGTCAAAGCTGAAGACAGAATGTGGCAGCATCGTTTCCGGGACACCTGAGATTTTGAGTGAGATTGAGAGGTTCTATGGGCAGCTGTACACATCATTGTTGGAGCCACACGCAAGTGTGAGTAATGATCCAAGAGCGAGTCTCATCCGACACTATTCCGAAGATATCCCGGATGTCAGTCTGAGCGAGATTAGGATGGCTCTCCAGCACCTTAAAAACGGTAAGGCCCCAGGCGAGGATGGAATTACAGCGGAGCTTCTCAAAGCGGGTGGAAGACCGGTACTTGAAGTCCTTCAGAAGCTCTTTAATTCCATCCTCCATGGTGGCATTACACCGGAGGCGTGGAGCAGAAGTGCGGTGGTCTTGTTCTTCAAGAAAGGTGAAAAAGCTCTCTTGAAGAACTACAGACCGATTTCCCTTCTGAGCCGCGTCTACGTGCTGTTTTCGAGAGTCATTACGAATCGTCTCGCGCGCAGACTTGACGACTTCCAGCCTCCCGAACAAGCCGGTTTCCGAAAGGGCTTTAGCACCATAGACCACATACATACCCTTCGGCAAGTTGTACAGAAGTCCGAAGAGTACAATTTGCCACTATGTCTGGCGTATGTGGACTATGAGAAAGCCTTTGATTCCGACGAAATTTGGGCGGTGCTGCAGTCCCTTCAGCGGTGCCAAGTTGACTGTCGGTATATCGAAGTGTTGAAGTGCTTGTACAGTAGGGCTACGATGGCTATCCGAGTACAGAACCAGAGTACGAAACCTATCCAATTGCAGAGAGGTGTAAGACAGGGTGACGTCATATCCCCGAAACTCTTCACCGCTGCATTGGAAGACGTTTTCAAGCTTCTGGACTGGAAAGGATACGGTATCAACATCAATGGCGAGTACATCACTCACCTTCGATTTGCCGACGATATAGTCCTTATGGCAGAATCGCTGGAGGACCTAAGCACTATGCTCAATGACCTCAATAGTGTTTCCCAACGGATAGGTCTTAAGATGAACATGGACAAAACAAAGATCATGTTTAATGTCCATGTCACACCTATGCCGGTAGTTGTTGGAAGCACTAAGCTCGAAGTTGTTGACGAGTATGTTTACCTGGGACAAATAGTCCGACTAGGTAAGTCCAACTTCGACCGAGAGGTCAATCGACGGATTCAACTCGGCTGGGCAGCGTTCGGGAAGCTACGACACATCTTCTCGTCAGACATACCTCAAAACCTTAAAACGAAATTGTACAACCAGTGCGTGTTGCCAGTGATGACTTACGGAACTGAGACGTGGTCCTTCACTGCTGGCCGTATGAGGAAGCTCAAGGTCGCTCAGCGAGCTATGGAGAGGGCTATGCTCGGAGTTTCTCTGCGTGATAAACTTAGGAATGAGGATATCCGCAGTAGAACCAGAGTGACCGACATAGCCCAACGGATTAGTAAGCTGAAGTGGCAGTGGGCCGGCCATATAGCTCGAAGAACCGACAACCGATGGGGAAGAAAGGTTCTCGAGTGGCAGCCTCGTACCGGTAGGCGAAGTGTAGGGCGTCCCCCCACGAGATGGAGTGACGACCTGGTAAGACATGCAGGAAGTCGATGGATGCAGGTGGCTCAGGACCGTGCTTTGTGGCATTCTTTGGGGGAGGCCTATGTTCAGCAGTGGACTTGTGAAGGGCTGTAATGATGATGATGATGATGAAGTTTTGACAAGTAGTTATTGCAACATCTATTTCGAAGTAAGTCTTAGATATGAGTTTTCCTTTAATATTGTTTACAATAGTAAGTCATAATAATGAGTTAATTTATGTTTCTTAATACTTTGAAAAGAAAATCAAAAACCAAAGTATAACAACAATATTTATAGCTAACAGAAACTTGTTCCACAATCTAAATGGTTTCTAACAAATACTACATACAAAACTAATCCTATCTTTTAGTTTTAAGTATATATACTTTTTAGGATTCAAATGGTAAAACGCAATGTAAATTAGTTCCTTATTTACACAGAAACAAAAAATTGATATTTTATAAATTATATTTTAGTGAGAAACCGCTGATGTACGGCCAAGTAGAGTGGAAAAAGGAACTCGGAAATATTTAACAAGCATACTTAAAAGTACGCTTGTTAAATATTCTAAAGAGTAAGGGCAATATCTAGTTAAGCACTCCCACTGCTCTGGGCAAAAAGAGCAACATAATTATAGCACCACATGCCAAGCTGCTAGCCGTGAATCTCTGCAACATTGGGGTATTCTCACAAAACGTCATTCACATCTGGTGTGAAAATATATGTTCAACATAGCTATATTTTCACACCCACACAGTACAAAAGTTGTTGTTTTTCAATTTGTCATCACATCTTGCAGTTCCTCAATTTGTGTAACTCTCTCCTTTGCCAACACCCGTTAAAGCCAACTGGTATTTTAAATACATTATAGAAAGAAAAATTAATTAATAAATTAGTAAAAAAATGTCCTTATGCTGATTAATAATTGAAATGAAGCACAATTATATAAATAGAAGTTACTTAATTCAAATCTGGAAAAATAGGACAAAGAACAGACAATATTTACCACTTTCATACTTTTAGCACTCTTGTATGCAACTGATGGTAAACTTATATTCTCCTTGTTTGATGCTTTTTCTGTACTCTTCAGTAGTTTGGGAATTGACGAGATTCCTGGTAAAGGTTTCTTAGGTCTGACATCTTTAAGCAATGGAACTTGTGGACTATTCTTGATATATGTAGCAACTGGACTTGATATATGTTGATATGAATTTAATTTACTTGGTACCTTATTTGGAGTTAGAAATTGTTTCTTTTGTGATATGAGACTTTTGGGTGTCTTAAATAGAGCTTTTTGTTTTATATCACCACAAATAGGAGTAGCAATATTGTCAATTTTATGTGAATTATGAATTGTTTTTGTAGAAAATGTACCTAAACTAGGACAAATACAATCACTTAAGCTATCTTTATTTTTAATTGGAGTGAAAAGTTCTGTGTTTGAAGAATGTTTGGCCTCTTCTAACTTTAACACACTTTTTATGGACTCAGGTACATTACTATTCTTGGTATCAATAGCTTCAACTTGCAATGCAGTTTTTTCATTATAATTATCTTTTGAAACTTCAATTTTATTGGGAAGTTTACATCCTTCTTCATTCACAGTCGGAGCATTATTTAATATATATTCAACAACTTCCAATGTATTATCTAATTCTTCTTTATTATTGTTTGGAAGTTCCGAAACCATTTTTTCCATTTCCAAAAAACTATCATTGATTGAATTGATATTCCAACTAGAAATTCCCTTATGTTCACTTGATAAACTCGAATTGGAATCGGAAATATTCAGAGAAACTCCTGGTTTAAGATCAGGTTCAGAACGAGTTTCAATTATTTTCAAACTGCTGTCACTATCGCTTTCATCCTTTTTTGTATTGTTACACCTAATTATTTCAATAAATTAATAAAACAAAATATTATAAAATTTTGAAAAATTATACTTATATATATTAATTATATTTACTTAAAAATAAACAAACTTACGTTGCACTGTGCCGATATCTATCCATCGTTACATGTTTTTTAATTTCATTCAAGGAAAGATTTCCAAAAAATATTTCGTCGTCGCTTAAATTATCATTAATATGCATAGCCTTATCCATAACATAAAATAACACTCAACAACTCAAAAAATTAATCTAACAAATTTTTGTGATATTCTCAAATTTTTAAGTTGATACATATGTGTACGTTTTTAAATTTTTAAATAGATTGATCGCTCAACAGTCATCAGTCAATTTTTTTTGTTTACAAGCAAAGGCCTCTAGGTTCATAAAGCCTAAATTGCCGTGTATTGACAAAATTCTTCCTAATAGGCCGATGCTGAAACTTTGCGAAGTTTTTGTAAGATTTGGGCGATGGCTTAATTTAAAAACATTTAATGACGATTAGTATTTCCAGGTGCCCTAGCTGATGAAAAAAAACCTTGAAATATATTTCGGAGACTGTGCGCAGGAAATGCATAATTTAATTCCTCCCTCTCCCTTCCATATCCGGACAACAAGACGTTGGGCCAGTCTCCACCATTTCGTTATTGAATCCACGCACTCCATGCATTCGAACCAAGCGGTTCGCTCATCGAATGATACGAGTTAGCCATCATAGCCGGGGCCCGGCAGCCCCTGTTTGGCAAATAGACAACTCACCCATGTCATGATGGGTTTTTTAGCATATCAAGGAGTATTTGACGTTGATGTTGATGTAACGATAATGTAATCACTGATCATAATTTATCCCACCCCTAAATTATTGATTTTGGAGCAACGTGGCTTACGCAGCGTTGCATCAAAATAAATAATCTCCCCCTCCCCTTCTTTATAAGCCCCTGAGTCCGATGAAACTGTAAGAGCCGCATAGGCTAACAGCATTAACATCACAGAAACTATACTAATGGTTCGCTACGTCGTTCATCATGCGTACAGCAAAGTAGTGAAATAAGTTGCCAGCATCTGTCTTTCTATCCGATTACAGTGTGGATGTCTTCGAGGCAAGAGTGAATAGGCTTTTGTTAAGTCAGTGCGCTTCACCATCTTAGGCTACATCACCACTTACCATCAGTTGGGATCGCAGATAAGTACTGGCTTAGTAGAATATAAAAAAAATTATCACAATAAAAGATCTTAGTACATCATTGCCAGTAATATTTCACAGTAGCTGTCTTTTTATGTATAAAATCGCTACACTTTTACAAATGAAGTGTCATTCATCAGGGAAGCGAGAGCTCGAACGAGCACAGGCAGCTGCTGCCTTAGACAAGTCTCAATTGGAGTTGGCACGTCTCAACCGAGAAGAGGAAATCGACTCGAGAGAGGATGATGAAGAGCGGAATACTCAGGTGGAACCTTTCGTAAGGAGTTGGGTTCAACAGACCATAATGAGCGCGCCGGTTAGTGTAACTCAACCCGACATTACTGATAAAGAAGCGTGTGAGGGATCACGCCGCAAAGGGGCGGAGGTCGAGCGCAATCTAGGAAATGCACAGAAGGCACACGCGTGTGAGGTGTCAGAATTGACCGACGCGATTGTGAGTGCAATAAAGATAGCGGGTAAATATAAGTCTTCCCAGCTTCATTTCCTCCAGGAATTACCGGTCTTCGATGGAGACCCGGGTGAATGGATAATTTTCAAAACAGTTTTTGAAGACACAAGAAGCCAATTTTCAGGGGTGCAGAATGTCGCACGCCTTAGGAGGGCATTAAAGGGCACCGCTAAGGAAGCGGTTAAGTCGTTGTTGTTTACTTTGTGTGAACCTGAAGAAATAATTAACGCTCTCGAAAGAAGATTCGGTAGGGTTGAGATGCTCATTTGGTTATCTTCTACTATGTAAGGTAAGTCATTAATGTATACAAGAAACAGAAAGGGGCCGACATTGAGCCTTGAGGCATGCCCATTTGTACCATCGACCCGGAAGTACTCATACTGTTAATGAAAACTTTTTGCGTTCGCTTACTAAAATATGAAATAATTAATTTAAGAGCATCACTTCTTACACCGTAGTGTTGAAGTTTCCTGATTAATGTTTCATGGTGAACACAATCGCAGGTTTTGGATAGGTCACAAAATATACCCAAAGCATCTTGTGAATTCTCCCATGCATTAAAGATATAATTAATCAGCTCAACACCGGCGTCAGTTGTCGAGCGACCCCCTGTGAAACCAAATTGATTTTTATGAAGTAAATTATTAATATTAAAGAAATTTAACATTTTATCAAGAATAATTTTTTCAAAAATCGTACTAAGTGTTGGTAGTACCGAAACAGGTCTAAAATTGGTGGGGTCTAATGTACTACCAGATTTAAATAAAGGTATTACTTTACTATACTTCATTAAATCAGGAAACACACCAGATTCGATACTAGTATTAAAAATAATAGCTAAATAAGGCGCGATTGTATCTACTCGTATTATAGGCGCAATAACTTTAACGGAAATCCTTTAACGGAAATTCTTAACATCAATAGTTATTTGCAGATGACACTTCTTTAATTTTCAAATTAAGTCGACAATTGCTAAAATATGACGAAGTAAATAATGTTAAATCTAAATTAGTAAATTGGTTCAATGTTAATAATTTGCATTTAAATGGCACTAAAACGAAATGTATGAAATTCATGACTCCAAATGTCAAACAAATAAATACTAATGTAATTTTAAATGGGGAGAAACTGAGTCTTGTAGATACCACCATTTTTCTTGGAATCACAAAAATCAAAACTAACAAGCAGACTTAGTTCTGCAGCATATGCCGTAAAAAAGATTAGAAGTCTAACTAGTGTTGAAACAGCTTGACTAGCTTACTTTAGCTATTTCCATAGCATGATGTCGTATAGTATTTTGCTATGGGGATACGCAGCTGACACTGAAATTATATTTGTTTTACAGAAGAGGGCAATAAGAGCAATTTATGATTTAAAGCCTAAAGAGTCGCTGCGACAAAAATTTAAGGAAATTAATATATTACCTTTGGCCTCTCAATAAATTTATGAAAATGTAATGTACGTACACAAAAATAAAAGTAGTTTTACAAAAATAAGTGATAATTCATTCTTTGCACTCTTCTCTTTCTAAGAATCTGTAGCGCCACTTGCATAGATAATATAATACACAATGTTGGGAAATGGAGAAGTGATATTTTAGACTTAGGACTTTCGGATCATACTGCTCAGGTATTTAAGTTTTCTGTGAAAACAACATGCACATTAAAATATTGGTATACAAAACGACGAGATTATTCAACAGAAAACTTAAATAAATTCAAATATTACATAGATACAATTAGATTTACAGATGTTTATACCAGCAGTTCATCTGGTGAGGCTTTTAATAAGTTTTATAATGAATTTAAATTATTTTATAATCTTTGTTTTCCTGTTATTCGAGCACGAATTTCAACAAATACGAAACAAAAATGGATTACAAAAGGCATACACATTTGTTGTAAATGTAAGCGTCACCTTTTGTGGCAATATAGAAGAAATCCTAATCAAAACAATAAAAATATGCTAAGGACTTTTTCAAGTAGATTAAAAAAAAATTAAATTAACACAAAAAGCTCAAAAACAACTTGGAAAATTGTTAATAGTTACAGAAAAAATTATAATAAAGAGTTTAGTAGAAATTTTATAACACGTATTAAAATAAATAATAAATTTATAACGAATCCAAGACATTGCGCCGGTGTTTCGAGACGCCAATACAGCTCAGATAGACAACCTCCAAGCGAAAGGATACGCAAGGGAAGCCGAGGGGACGGAGACAGAGGACCCCAAGAGCTGGTACCTGCCACACTTCGCAGTGCGGAACCCGAACAAGCCGGGGAAGACGAGAGTAGTATTCGACGCGGCAGCGCGCGCATCCGGTAGATGTCTTAATGACTATTTACTCGACGGCCCCAACTTATTACAGAACTTACCGGGCCTACTGTTTAGGTTTAGAGAAAACGAGATAGCCGTGTCCGCGGATATTAGGGAAATGATTTTACGGGTGAAAATCGACCGTCGCGACCAACCCGCGCAATTGTTTCTCTGGCGAGGAAACGAGCGATATAGCCCGCCGCGGGAATACGGCGCGATTATGACTTCGATGATTTTCGGCGCGAGAAGCTCACCGTTTCTCGCACATAGCGTCAGAGATTATAACGCGCGCGCACACGCAGAGACACACCCGTTGGCGCTTAACGATATCGTACGTAGTCATTATATGGACGACTATTTAGACAGCTATGCAACGGTAGAGGAAGCGGTAAACACGCCGAGGCAGGTTACGGAAGTGCACCAGAAGGCCGGCTTCAGCTTGGCAGGCTGGAATTCCAATCACGCAGCCCTGTTGGAAGACAAGCCGGAGGAACTACTGGCGCGCAAGCCTAAGGAAATAGGCCTAAGGCAAGACAGCCTAGGCGGAATCCTAGGGTTGTTGTGGATGGCCGACGAAGATGCCCAAACCTTCAACACATCGATGAATAGGGTGCCGCAGGAAGTAAAGGCGCTACAGCGACCACCGACCAAGAGGGAAGCATTAAGCGCGGTCATGTCGGTGTTTGACCCGCTCGGACTGCTCAACTACCACACCATCACCGCCAAGATCCTGTTACACGAGGAGGCAGCAGAAGAATTTCAGAGGTGGCTGCGAGTCGTCGAAGAGGTGTCACGACTGCGACTGCCAAGGTGCTATGCTCCTACGGGGGGAGTGGTAGAACGTCAACTTCACGTATTTAACGACGCAAGCGAACGCGCGTACGCATCCGTGACATATTGGCGTATACGATACAGCGACGGAACGGTTAGAGTACGATTAGTGGCGGCCAAGGCGAAAGTCGCTCCGATTAAGGCGCAGAGTATACCGCGACTAGAGTTGCAGGCGAATTTGATAGGCACGCGACTCGCGGAATTCGTACAAGGCGAACACAGAGTGGTAGCAGATAGTGTCTTATATAAGACGGACTCTACTACGGCACTCCACTGGATACAGAATGATACGGCGCGTTACTAGATGACACGATGCTGTCCTGGAGGAGGTATTCTCCTGTGGAGCCCCCGGAACAATTCCCTTCTTGAAAGCACTAGTTCAGTCTATTCACGTAATGGTACAGTCAAAAAAAGAAC